ACAAAAACAAACAACAAACAAACAACAAACCCCCCCCCAAAAGACAAAAACAAACAACAAACAAACAACAAACACCACACACCCCAAAACGAACAAACAATAACACAAAAATAAACAAACAAACAGCCCCCCCTCCCCAAATGACAAGCACCTAATTCCACCATGTCGTCGTGACTTAACAAACTTAATATCTCCTTGTTTTTGTTGTTGCTGTCGTTGTTGTCGTTGTCGTCGTCGTCCAGAGGCTCAGCGCAGTGGCGCCATCATGCTGTCCAAGTACCACGACGGGGTATGGCAGGACAAGGACTCCATCTACACGTGCTGCAAGCACAGACACCGGGAGGCTGTGGGGTGTAAGCAGAGCTCTCAGGCGGCCAGAGCCAGTGAGTACAAGCAGAGTTTTGTTTTTTGTTTTTTGTTTTTGTTTTTGCTTCTTTTTTTATTTTTCATTGTTGTTTTTTGTTTGTTTGTTTGTTTTTCCTTGTCCCGATTTTGGTGCCGATATTTGGAGCCAGTGATTAAAGCAGTTTTTGTTTTGTTTTCTTTTTGTTTTTTGCTTTTGTTTTTGTTTTTTGCTGGTTTTTTCCTATTCCTGATTTTGGTGTCGATTTTTGGATCCTGTGAGTTAAAGCATTTTTTGTTGGTTTTTGTTTTTGTTGTTTTGTTGGGGTTTTTTGGGGGTTTTTTTCATTGCCCCGATTTTGGAACCGATATTTGTAAGTTGTGTCAAATTGTGCCAACATGGTGCAAATTATGATGCTTTAGGAAAAACAAAACAGGAACAAGGAGAAGTGATGATGATGATGATGATGATGATGATGATGATGGTGTTGGTGGTGGTCCTAACATCGTTAAGAGTAGGCTTCGGCCGCTACACGAGCAAAATTCAATATTAATTACCAACAAACTGAAAATGCGTAACGTGTCCTGCGAGCTCATTCAACCTTGTGTAGTGGCGACCGCCGGTTGTCAGTTTTGCTTGTGTGAGAAAAGAGAAGCAAATCGACACAATGATGGTCTTTTAGTGGTGGAAAAAAGTAAGACAGACAGACAAAAAGAAACAACAGAGGGGAGAGTATAAAAGTAGGACATACCCGTGGCACCCTCCAACCATCCACGTGCCATAAAACACTTACCAAAACAAAATAAAAACCCCAAAACAAACAAAATGTTTGACCCACTTCGCACATCAAGGGTTTCTGCTCTCTGTGGCACCACCATATCGTGCCTGAGAGACGATGTGAACGTATTTGAAGAAGGGAGACAATGGTGGCTTTAGTGTGGCGGTTAGGCGCACGGCTGACGAATTTAAATCGAAAATCTCGGTCTCTCAGCTAGGAAATTGTATCTATCTTATCCTGGGTTGGTCCTGACAGGCAGTGTCGAAAGCCCGCCTCCTAAATGATCCAAATCGTGTGGATGGGGGTGTAACATCGGCTACAGAAAAAAGAAAAAGTCAAGTAAACTACTGTTACTTTCTTTCCAAACTAGACTTTAAAATGCTGTTGTAAACTGTCGTCTGGTAAATCTCTTCTTCACCCTGCTGCTACGTGTTGTTTTGTGGCGTCGGTAACCTTAACCCTACCCGTACGTCGTGTTTTACTATCGTATCCATACGACGTGGGGAACCCTGTGCCACTACTTGACCCTACCCGTACGTCGTGTTTTACTATCGTATCCATACGACGTGGGGAACCCTGTGCCACTACTTGACCCTACCCGTACGTCGTGTTTTACTATCGTATCCATACGACGTGGGGAACTCTGTGCCACCCTTTTACCCTATCCGTACGTCATGTTTTACTATCGTATCCATACGACGTGGGGAACTCTGTGCCACTACTTAACCCTACCCGTACGTCGTGTTTTACTATCGTATCCATACGTTGTGGGGAACTATGTGCCACTACTTAACCCTATCCGTACGTTGTGTTTCACTGTCGTATCCATAGGACGTGGGGAACTCTGTGCCACCACTTAACCCTATCCGTACGTCGTGTTTTACTATCGTATCCATACGACATGGGGAACTCTGTGCCACCCCTTAACCCTATCCGTACGTCGTGTTTTACTATCGTATCCATACGACGTGGGGAACTCTGTGCCACTACTTAACCCTATCCGTACGTTGTGTTTTACTATCGTATCCATACGACGTGGGAAACTCTGTGTCATCACCTTCCAAAGAGGACATTTACACGTTAATCCGATCCGTACGCTTTGCATAGCAGTTTGTCAAAATGATTTTTTAAAGAAATACTGAAAGTTTCAAAGAGATCTTCGTACTAGAAGTTAAAAATACAACCCCAGGGGTACAAAATAACCCAAGGGCGTACAGATAGGGTTAACTGGTTAGGCTGCTGGACTCATGATCGAGAAGTTGCAGGGTCAGGGGTTCGAGGCTCAGGTCCGACGTCATGTCCTTGAGAAAGTCACTTTACACAAACTATGTTCCCTACTTCACCCAGGCTCAAGTATGTACTCGGCTGTAGACATCCAAAGATTGTGTCAGATTCAGATTGATAGTGTTTGAAAGCTTAGTCACAAGAAAACTTCAATATCTTTGGTAGTCTAAGTCATGATATGTTATTTTTCTAATCGATCGCTTAAAAGGTTTCAGCAAATTCAATAAAAAAATATAGATCTACACGTTTTTATTCATTTAAATTGTTGCGCGTTAAAAAAGAACACCCTCAAAACATCTCCACGGTCATGTCATTTTTCTCCCAAACTGTCAGTAGAACGTAGTCGAACCTGCTCTAATGACCACCTGTACAATCGACTAGTTCACACCCCCCCCCCCTTCCCCACACTGCATGTTTTCCACATACTCGTATAATGACAATGTCCAAAGCGTCATCCTGTCCAACGCTACAACATTTCATCTCAGTAATGGGCAGCCGTCTTATACAGTTTCAACTGTGAATGTCTCTAATTTACTACCCCAGAATTACAAAGTTTTTTCTGTTCAGTGCCTAGTTTTGACAAATTTAACGTCAAAGATTTCAAGTTACATAAAGTCTAACTTCTTCTAATCTGCCCCTGTCGTTTTATGCAAGAAAAATTCTGAAATTATGCAAACTGAGCCCAAAAAATGTGAAATTATGCGATTCAGTTAATTTCAACAAAGAATGATAAAGAAAAATAATTAAAAATTATGCAAAAAATGATCAAATTTTGCTAAATTATGCAGGGTGCATAAAACCACGGGGACAGTCTAATGCGATTTTTGAATATCATGATAACAAATCCGAGTAAACTTACGATTTTGATAGAGCATTTGGTTTTTGACCTAGATAGTCTTAGTAACTCAAAACAGTCAAAATGTCAGATAGAACATTGTAATTGTGAGGTAGCGAATTATCCAAACTTTTGCACGTTAATTAAGAAGGAGAACATGCCCAAAACAAAGCCAAAACTGTCTGTGGAATATTTGCCATCTCTGAAATGAAGCTTCAGAATTTCAAAACTTTTAAAACAAATTCTTGAAATCCACAGCAGACCCCGTTATATCACGTTACTCTTCTAAACTGCAAGGTTCACCACAGTTTCAACAACAGACGTCGTGAGTTCCATTCCCATGTACCGATAATTTTTTTTATCGAATATCTCACTTTGTCTGCAACGACATTGTATCCATCCAAGCTCGGATTGATGATCCTGACAGACAGGTTTAAAGCATCCTGCCCCATAATTGATCCTAATCGTGTTAACGCGGGCGTAAAACACAACAATTATACACATTAAAAAATAATCTTAACATACAAAACATAACGTGAAACAGCACACGTATTGTTCTTCTAATTGTCATACATACAATAAAAAAAAATCCCCAACAAAATATCATTGTTATTTCTTTGTTTTTAATATATGTGAAATTGCATCAACACAATTTTAAAAATCCACAATATACCATACACATTAAAATGTGTCATTATTTTGAATTGTTGTAAGCAAGAGGTCTCAATACATTTTACCATGACAACTGAACTACAGTCATCAACTGCACCACTAAATCAAGAATACTCAAAATGAAATAAATCTAAGTTATTTCGCGAAAGCACTTTAGAATGTATTGGCTCTATTACCCGGAATGCCTTCCCACAAAAACTGAATTGAGAGAAACAGAAAATACCGAACGTTTTCAAACCCATGTGTAAATACATCTTTTTAAAATCACGAATTCCAATTTGATTTTTTCTTCACTTCAACAAAGACATTTTTGTGTCTGTATGCCATCTACTGTAATCATAATAATTGTACAACGCCCACAGAGTGATTTCTAGGGTGATTGAGAGCCATATGAACGCTTCTTCTTCTTCTTCTTCTTCTTCTTCTTCTTCTTCTTCTTCTTCTTCTTCTGCTCCTCCTCCTCCTGCTATATTTTCTCACTCTCGGAGAAAGTCATGTGTACAATGTCCACCCTCACGGCCCACGCCTCTGTGACTGCCCTCAGCTTGTGACGTGGACTAACTTGTGTGTTCAGTCCGCCCATCCTCCTCCTCTTCCCCCTCTTCCCCCTCCTCCTCCTTCTCCTCCTCCTCCTCCTATGTTTTCTCACTCTCGGAGACGGTGGTGTGTCGAGTGTCCACCCTCACGGCCCACGCCTCTGTGACTGCCCTCAGCTTGTGTCGCGGGCTCACTCGTGTGTTCAGTCCACCCATCCTCCGCCTCACCCGGGCCCAGCCACCCTTCAGCACACTCGCCTTGGATGTGTTCATAAACGCCGCCAGTACCTGTTGATGAGAGGAGCCAGTTCAGGGGGTTAATGATAATAATGATGATAATGATAATGTTAATGTTAATAACACTAATAGATAAAGATGGTGATGATGATAATAATAATAATAGTAATAATATTAATAATAATAGTAATAATAATAAAAATGTTGATCATAATCCTAATGATAATGATATCAATAATAATAAACGATCGACGAAAATAATAATAGACGACGAGGTAAAATAGATAACCTTAATAAAAAAAATGATAATGTTAATGCGCTAATGATAATAATAAAAAAAAAATAATAATAACAATAATAATAATAATAATAATAATAATAATGATAATAATAATAATAATAATACTACTAATAAAATAGTAATAACAACAACAACAACAACAACAACAATAATAATAATAATAATAATAATAATAATAATAATAATAGAAATAATAATAATAATAATGGCGTAGATAACTCTTTTAGCCCCCACCCCCGTACAATACAGCTCTTGGCGCTTGAATAGTATTATATAAAATATAATCAGGTGTGGGCGTTATACATTGATGTATTTTTTATAAAGAATAGGTTCAAACCAGTGCGGGATTAATATTCCGTTATCATTTTTATTTGGATAATGAAGGTAGTCATTGTATAGTTGAGTGCACGATTATTTATTTCATCCCTTTTTTTGTTGCGTGCTTTTGTAAGAAAAGAGATCCTAAGAGATCCTCAGAGCATTTACCAAAGGAGCAATCAGTGCAGTCCTAACTTTTCCTAAAGAATAGACGATGGAAAAAGCGCAACTTTGGATATTACGCTGAGTACTTCCTGTGTGGCCCAGGGAAAGACCATACCATCAAGAGTATGGCGTCTTCAGCGTTTAATTAAGCGGAGAGGGAGTTTTTGTTCATTAGCTAAAGGAGAAACGTCTCTGAGGGTTCAATAACGTTAGTGAAGGGGTATGATGAAGTAAGTGTTGGTGGGATATTTATTTTGATTTATCGTCATTGCTTTCTCTATTGTTCTTTTAAATCATTCTAAATAACTTGTTTTTGTTGATTGAGGCGTATAATATATTATTATTTTTAAAAGATGAAAACACAAAAGAACCCGCCCCCCCCCCCCTAAAAAACAAACGAACAACTCAAAGCAATAACAGACCACCCCAATCCCCCCCCCCAAACCCCCCACCCCCAACAACAACCAAAAAATAAAAACAAAAACAAAACCCCCCAAAACACCCAAACAGCAAACAAAAAAACAAAAAAACCCCAACCCAAAACATCTTCATGTAGATTCATGTTTATAGAAGCAATTAGAAGATTAGGTGAAATGAACGTTTATTACTAGTGAGCCATTTTTGAATGAAGAAGGTAATTAGAGGCAAGACTTGAACACATGTCGTTGACAGCACATGAAATCTTTGCATAAGGCTCGCAAGTTTCGCTGGCTCACGGTATCCATCACTCGATTGTTCAAAGTCAGAACAAAAATCATCCAAACCTCAGAAAATCCATCTCACTATCCGTTATTATTCAGATTAATTTGTCCACTTCCTCTCATCATTATTTCTACTCATTAGTGTTCATTCTAAGCAAATAAGATGATATAACAAAGAGACGACTTATAGAGAAGAAAAGTTTATGAGGGTGAACATTTGGATGCCAAGATGAACTGTGTTGCAACGCAGTGGAATCGCAGGCGCTCGTCTGACATATTAGTGTTGGGCATATGGAGTTATTGGTATCATCTTACAGCCTGTTCATTTGCCTGGCTTTTTTTACCACTCCCCCCCTCGCACCGCCTATCTATCTTGAATAGAAGTCGAGATTTTTATGTTTGAGGGAGGTGGGGGTCACCTGGTGTCAGAGGCAAACTTAGCAAGAAAATGGTCGCCAAAGTTTGATGATTTCCAAAGCGTGATAGTCTTCGGAAACTACAAAATTACATTCTTTATGCCTTTCACCAATTTTTTAAAATAGTGAAATCCAGACAAAAATGCTTTTCTTAAATAAACGTAAAAGGCGCTGAACCAAAAGCCAATACTTCGGGAAAAATTGCCTAACGGACGGAAAATTGCCAGTTTCTTGAATTCATTATTTTGACGAGCGTCTGATTTCACCACGATGCCTTACAATTATTTTCAAGCTGTGATCGACCGCCCTCAGTAAAGTTGGCCCTCACAATTAAAAATCGTGTACGCGTGTGCTCCCTTGTGCTTTGGATAGGCTCAAGGCCCCTCTAGCCGTATAACACTAAACATTTATTTAAGAGGCAAGACATCCGAAAACGCCCCAAAGCAACCCAAGTTCAGAATGCCTTGTTAAGGATTCGAACTAGAGCCATCTAATCAGCTCCGTGGTCCAACATGAGACCAACTGAGCGACTATGCTGAGCACAAAGAAAGATACTGTAGAAAGCAGTCATGGGGGCAACTGAAAATTGCGCAGGTTTTTAATTCTATTGTCAAAAAGTTGAAAGCAGTTTTCCAAAACGTGTTGGAAAATTGCGCAAGAAATTTTGGTATCGAGTATTTCTTAGGTTGCGTAGATATTCGACACGGTACCGACGGGAATTCTATAAATATAAGTTTAAGTAGTCGACCTCTACCGTAGGCCAAGAATCAGGACTGTTGTTTCATGTCATTGTATATTATATTATTATATTCTTTACGTCTTTTCTGTCATGAAAACCTCCTTTTTAAGTTTGTTTTTGAGCGCGAGTAAATTGCATCGGCGCGGGGCATACCAAAGATAATACAAGACAAGATGGGCCACTCAGCCTAAAAAGTGTCCGCAGGAAGTATGCTCTTTGCTTCAGATGGCGCTGCAGTCTGTTTTGAAGCTCTCTTTCGTTTTTCCAGAAGAAGAATAGGAATAGCACCTCCTTG